TCATCTTCGTTTAGCTCCAGAGCATTCTATTCCTTCTGTCTTGGCACCTTGCACACAGTACTGCTCCTGCCTGGATGCCCCACCCCCTGTCCACTTAACTCCTATCCCGCATTCAGATCTCGGCTCAAATGTCTCTGCTCTAGAAAAGACTCTCCTGATCCCCTCCATCCATTTCACAGTTTATATACTCTTATCCTGAAATTTTATCTTTACAGCACTTTAATACCATCTGTAGTTAAATATTTGTCTAGTAGATTGTTTTTCTTCTCGACTATACTGTAAACTCCATAGGGCATGGATCATGTCTGTTCTGCTCACTTTTATATTTTCAGAACTTGACCTAAAGCCCAACACTTAAATGACACTCAATATAGATTTTGTTTACTGGGAAGTTGGTTGAATAAATGAATAAACCATCAAATGAACCAACAAACAAATGAAGAGCTGCCAAAATGAAAAAAAATTAAATGGCTGCTCTCTCATCCAGCCTTTGAACTAAAAATCATCTTTACTTTAAAATTTGTTTTTCTTTGAAAACATTCCATTCAATCAAAAGTTCCAAGTCAGATTAGTAATAACCTTGTATGACAATGAGGATAACATATATTCAATCTTACCTAATCAGATGAAATTTTTTGGCTTTCTTTTTCGTGTATAACTCTCACCCAAGTGTATCTCTTTCACACTAAATACAGATGCTTTTCCAACCCAAATATCAAATGATGACTCATTCCCCTTAGATTTAGTTTGGATGTGATGGGTAGAAGAAGAAAAGGCAAGAAAACATATTGGCCTTCTAAGATTAATGACTAGATTTTTATGTTGGGAACTTGGAGTCCTAAACTGAATGTTTCCTCTTTGATCTCCAATATATGAAGCTGGACCTAATGTAATTGCTTCCAAGGGGGAAATACTGCTTATACTTTCTGACTGGCTGTCACAATGCTCTGAGTTAATCACCACCCCCTCCCAAAATGCCCAGCTCCATACAATCGTGAGAATTCAGGACTGAATCTCTGTGGCAGTTTGAGCAGTAAACTTATTTGTCTGTATGAGAGGGACTTTTAGTTCTCAAAGCTCAAAAGATTTTATTAAGCAGGTAGCATTTTCTGATTTTTAGATATAATTTTTCAAATCCTAATGCTCTGGATTTCTGCAGTGTTTCTACATCGTGTTCAGAAAACAGAGTAACACAATTCTCCATTTGGTTGCTCTGGAGAGCACGATGCTATTGCACTGATATTTTGGAGAGCTATTTATTCCGTTCTTTCATTTTCTACATTTACCTGTTCTATAATGACCTAATCTCCTACCACTGTCTTTCTTACACATTCTGTTCTATGCACATCATCCTTCTTGCTATTGCTCATTGTCTCCAGGCATGTTCCTACTTGAAAGCATTCATACTTGCTCATTCTGCCTGAAACATCCTTAACCCAGATATTTCCATGGCTGGCTCCACTGGAAACTTGAGGCCTTACCCAAAGGCCTTACTTAAAGTTACAACCCCTCTTGAACACTTCTTATACCTCTTTCCTCATTTTTATCCATAGCATTTATACAATAAAACAGTTTATTTTTCTTTTTATTACCTATTTTCCCACCTCTAGGACAAAAACTCCATGAAGACAAAGATTTTTGCCTCTTTTATGGAATGCTATATTCTCAGCCTTTATTGTAGGTACTTGAAAATTATTGAGTAAAACAAATTTTCCATCAGAATTATCAAATATAAAATATTCCTGTGAAAACTACCAACAGACTCTATGAGTGTAGGAATACTGGTTTCCATCAGGGAGATGCTTCTACCAGAGGAAACAGAGAGAGTGCTGTTAAACGTAAAGCTATGGCTGCTCCCTGGTCAGCCCCAGGGGCCAGCAAGAAGAGAGAGGAGTTAAATACTGATGGGCAAATGTCCCTGAGGATCATGAGCAAGAGGGTAGCTGCTGTGTATGGGGGCAGGGAGGAATACGTTAGGTTCTCAGAAGATCCACTGGGGCATTTTTTGGCCTATGCCCAATTATAACTTTAAATTTGTACGTACAACAACACAGCATTAAAACATGATAATCTAGGGCTCAGAACCCTCAGGTATGAGGTTTGGGTAAAACATCAGGCAAGCCGCCTAGACAAGCAGAAGTGCTACCCAAAAGAGAGGGGGTTCTAAAATGCCCAGGGAGGTGGGCAGATGATGAGTACCAACAATGGCCTTGGTACAACTGCACTGGTGGGGGGACCCCCATTCCTCCTCAAGTACATTTTCTTGGAAACTGTAACTAGCCAGAATCTTTGATAAGCTATGCCTGGACGAAGTGAACTTAACGAGAAGCAAGCAGATCTGAGGGATCCCAGGAGTGGAATGCAGTGGAATATAGCTATTGGGTCATTACCAAGATCCTTTTCATCAGCTGTGCAGACTAATCAAGTTGATAACTGTAATCTGGTAACATACACAGCAATCTGCACAAACTAAGTAAGAAAAGAAGAGCTATGACACAAATGAGTACTATTCAGACAGAAAAAGGAGACGCAACCACAGATACAGCAGAGATTACAAAGATAGTAAGAAAATACCTTGGACAACCGTATTAGTACTACCACTGTGGAAAACCATTTGGCATAATCTGGTAAAACTGAAGATGCACGCCCTGTGACCCAGCAATTTTGCTCCTCGGAATGTGCTCTAGAGAAACCCTTGCACACGTGCACCAGGAGAGAAGTACAAGAATGTTCACAGAAGTGTTGTTCACAATGACAAGAAAATAGAACAACAAACGTTCATGTACAAGAGAATAATTACATAAATTCTGGTGACTTCATACAATAAAATATGGAGCAATAGTAAAAAAAAAAAAAAGGAATAAACTACAGCTACATGCCATCAACTATAACGAACGTCACAAATATATCATCAGGCAAAACACCAAATTACAGAGAATACAGTACAATACTATTATGTAAATTCAATAACAATCAAAATTAAGCAATATGTCATTTGAAGATATATAAATATATGATGAAATTATTAACAAAAGCAAAGGAATTATAATCACAAAATTTAGAACCGTGATTATCTTGGGTAAGGAGACAAAGGAATGAAATCAGAGTGGCATACACAGCCAATTTCAAGAGTACGAAAAATGTTACATTTCTCAATTGAATGGTGAGCACACTGGTGTTCGTTTTATGAACATGTTCTAAAACCCACATATACATGACACTCATTATTTTAAATATAAAATAGTTTAAACAAAACGGGCCTTTTGTATGGAAAATATAAAGGAAAGGAGGAAAGGAAGAGGAGGTGGAGAAACCTTTCATAAAGTCTTCACCCGAGACATCAGGGGCGGGGTGGAAAAGGCACAGCAAGACAAGAAGGTTTTCTAAGACCATGTGTAATCTGCTATGCTCAACAGTATTTTCTTGGCCCATAACACAACTTAAAAATTCTTAAAAATAGCTTTAAAAATTGTACACGATATTCACCGTGGGGCAGTCTTTACGAGCGATTCTCTTAGAGACCCCAACACTTGCTTGGCTTTGGAAATGAGAAAGCGTCTTTACCACAAACCCTGGCTTCACCAGGCTGATACCCACAGTTCTATGAATCTCCCCCACTTCTCTCAATTTTTCTCGTGTAGGCTGGGAAGGGGCACTGGGGTGACCATCCATCTGGAAAGTACAGATGATGTGTCTTCTCTAGTTAAGCCCAAGGCAGGGGGCCTGGCCCCAGCAATTTGCAACTCTTTTTAAGAGGTGAGTATTTAACACTACTTTCTCCTTAAATTCCGTTCATTGTTGCCAAGTTGGAGGCACGGGAATAACGTCCTCCTCAACAGTGTTTTAATCTTACACTAATAACAATTGTTAAAGAGAATTTAAAGTTTGATTTGTGGATTAGTGTGCTGTATCAAAGAAAAGAAAAAAACTCTAAAATATAGATATATATAGACACACACACACACTGTGGGGCGAAAACAGGATTATGAAATGTGAAAGACCTCTTCATAACATTCATATTTCAAAAGATGACTTTTGGGTTTCAAACACAGGGGAAAAGATTTTGTCTTATAGGCATCACTCCCTATCTTTCCTCCTATCACACCACATCTTTCCTCTCTCTGGTGTTAATCTTCCACGTGATGCTAATTAAATGCACACGTGCAACTAATTTAAGTGTTACAGAATTCAAGGCAGTCTTAACTCCTTCTTCACCCAAAAATAAAATAAGATGGTAAACTGCTAGTGTCTAGACTGTACAGAGGACTGAGAATTAAATTGTAAAATCTTATTTCACAGAAAAATCTAAAATGACCTTTCAGGTTATGAATACTTGATTATGGTAGAGACAGTTCAGATATAGCCCCTTTTTAATTCACTTGGAAAAGGTAGTTATTCATTATACCAAGTTATACTCAGGAAAAAAAACAGGGCATAATTTTGAGCTGTCAAGCTTAACACATGTATATAAAACAAATATTCTCACTCTGTTCTATGGCAGAATTGAGCTTGCTAAATATCATACTAGGGGTAGAGTCCAAACGGTGGTCAAAGAGGTACTCTGACATGGAGAAAAATGATCCACCAAAGGCACTGAAGGGAAATTTACATATACACTCATTATTAAGATACATATCATTAAAGGTGCTTTCCTTACAAGGATGAGGACAATCTAAAACTCATCTTTATTACACGTCAACTCCACTTTTTAACCTCACTATCTTAAAATGGAAATGACAATGGAAAGGCAGAGTCAGGATTCCATACTCTTCGAACACTATTTGCAGAAGTGGCAATAATCCTAGAAACATTTAAATAATCATGCTTCCCCTATCAAAGCCATATTAAGGATAACTCTCTCTGCATTTTTACTTAAAGAGAAGTGCCACAAGGGACTCATATCTAGTAAAATTAACAGACCAGTGAAGACAGAACACAATGCCTGCGTTAGACGGAGGCACCTTCCACAGAGAGCTGAGAAAGAAAGCAGAAGAGCTTACCTTTATGATGGTTTGCACTGGATACAACTTTCCCCCACAAGGTTACAATAAATATTATTATTAGCAGTTTTCCTTTTGTTGCTTTCTGTAAGTATCTCTTACTCATCCTGCAAATAAAAAATAATAAAAATCCTAAGTATGTGAAAGCATTGCTTTTCCATTATAACTGTGCTACATTTAAAGTTTCCCATGACACCTTAACACCTGAAAATTGCATTTCTTGTATTTAAAATGCTGTTCACTGTATATAAACTCTGAACAGAAAAAATACAAAGTTTTTCAAATAAAGTTCCTTGATATGATACAAGAAATGAGAGGCCCTGCCTCGGTCAGTCTTCATTCACTTAACAATAGCCTAAATCAACTGAGAAACATTACCATTTTCCCTCAGTATAGATTTAACTTATTCAGAAAATCCAAGGCACAAGTGTTTGAATAATCTTTAAACAAGTGATTTATTTTACTTGTTTTTTAAAGATTCCTTGTTCAACGCCAAGTCAAATGGTCAGGGTAAACAGTTTAGATAAAATGTGTTAGATGAACTGCTGCACAGAATAAAGTCACTTCAAATCTATTATTTCTAATGTGCTTTCAAAAAAAGTCGCCTAGTACAACAGCTTCCTTATTGAACAACACTACTACTGGAGACACACAGATGTTTTAATATTGTTGGAATCCACTGTGCTGTACTTTACCAGAAGTAGGAGAAAAATGGAAAAGCAGAATGAAAAATACCAAGTTCACATTTTCAAGTTGAGCCCGCAAAACTCAGGAAAGCAAAGAACTGTTATAATAAAATAATAGCTACCTATAATAAAAGTTCAACATCTACTTTCTCTAGCACTTTACACATTATTTCAATTGTTCTTCAGAACAAATTTGGGATGTTGGTAGATCTCTTCCCATTTCATAGATGATGAAATTTGGAAATTTGGCTGAGGTCACGTTTAATGATAGAGTAAAAATTCCTTCTAAAATCCTTACATTAACTACAATACATTGCTAAAGAGTAAGCAAAATTGATATAAAATATAATCCATCTGCATGTATTTATGAAGGAGATAAAATACATGCCCATCAGCCAGTGCCTTCTCAGATTCAGATCCTACACTGAATTCCATTCTTGTTTGACCTACAGATTCTTGCCTTGGCTCTACTGCAAGTGTGTGAGGTCACTTCCTGACCTAGCCTGAATCCTCTTCCTCTTCAATTCTCTAAGTTATCTTTTCCCTTACACCCTCACTTTCAAAATATTTCATCTCCAAAAATATGACTCATGGTAGCAATACCAGCTGTACAATTTTGAAGAAGAGTCTTTGGATAAATGCATGACACAATTAATTAATATATTATATATTTTAATATAGATAAATGTCAACATTTCTTGGCCTGAGGCTGCTGTGCACACTAATTCAGATGTTGGGGAGGCAGCACTGCACGAGTAAGAACATGGACTCACTTCTGAGTCAGACTGTCTGCATTTGAGTCCAGGCTCTACTGGCTTCTGATTGTGTGATCCTGTACAAGTTTCTGGGTCTCCTGCTTCACTCTCTCCTTCTGTAACATGGGACGAGGAATATGAAATGCCTGGCCCACTGGTTAGCATGTATGGGGCTCAACGATGATGAGGTAAAGAACGTTTAGTCATTTGGATGCTGTGTTTAGTCCTTGAGTGCATGAGAGGCCAGGCCCATTCATGAGATGATTGAAGGGAGTTTCAGTGACACCAAAAGCTGCAATTCCTTCACAGACATTGGTCTTGTCACAAGTCAAAATAAGGTACAAAAGAATAGGTGTTTGACCTTTTAGATTGTTCGGTTTAAAATTTGGCTTCCTGCCTACTGGCTATATGACTTTGAGCAAATTACTTAAAACTTGGAGTATATTTGTTGTCAGTAAAATGAGGATAATAATAATATCCATCTCACAGTGTTGTTGGTATGAAGACTAAATGAGATCGTCTATGTAAAGAGTTCAACACCAGGCATAGAAGATAATAAATGCTAACCATTACTGTGATCATTACTTGGTTAGACCAGCATTTCCCTAGGCATGTTCTGTGAGGCATCACTTCCACGGAATGTTGATACAGTATTAATGAAAAACAAAAGGGGCAAATATATTTGTAAAATTCTCAGTTCAACAAATTTAACTAGATTCTTTTTAACAAAAGGCATTTTCCAGAAACCTTTTTCCACAGAGTCACACAGGATATTAATTGTCCTCAGGAAGCCTCTTAGAGAAATAATCTGGTTTAATATTTTCTCTCGGTAAACCAAATGCCTGTTTTAAATCTTCCATTCTATTGCCTTTGTTTGCTCTCTGCACTCTTACTACTAGTTTTGTTAGGAGATTCTCAAACTTTTTCTTTTGTTATGAGATTCTCTACTTTTCAACCATCCTGCCTCCTCTTCTACATCCAATCCCTGCAATGTTATTGTACCGCATATCATATAACAGAATGAACAGTTTAGCAAAACTCATCTGACAAGAAGAGCTGCTTAGCATAATTCTTTATAATAGCTTTCCCATAGCAAATGTCCTCTCTTACAAGGTCAATGACCCATTGTATTTCCTATACTATTGTGCACCCACCAAATGGAATGACAGAACTGACAGCTGGTCAAATTTATAGCTAGACACATGGAATTGGAAACACCCACAATGTCACCAGGCTGTCAAACAAAGAAAGGAAGGAGAATGCAGGTCAACATTTGGAAGTCTGTGAAGACCCCTGCTTTCTCCCTCTTATACCATCCCCAGCGCCGTCCAGTCAGCTACCATCTTCTGGGCATACGACTTCCTGACTATCTCTTCAATGTACACAATCCCCACTGCAATACTGCAGTTCAGACCACCAAAATTTCTCACGGGCCACAGCCTACTAACTGGACTTCCTGCTGCCAATATTGCCATCCCCCTGGAGCTGTGTCTGCCTTTTTCATGACTATGTTTGCAGTATTTAGTACTTAGTAAGTGCCTGACAAACAATTAAAACCTTCACATGATTCCCCTCTAACATTCAGGGGAAAAAAGGCCATAACCCTTAGCAAGATATTAAAAACCTATATTAGCATAAAAAAAAAAACAAAAAACTTTGACTCTTTGTGTCTCTAATCTTGTTTTATGCCATCCCTCCCCATCTCTCTCTCCATACACACTCATAGTCAATATTTTAACTCTACTAAATTTCCTCAGTGGCTTTCAGCTAAATCTCACCTCCATGTCACCAGAAACATATCAGTCACCCACCCCATTCCCCATCTACTCTTCAAAATGCTAGTTTCTAGTCATTGGTCAGGGTGCAGGTTAGAATTCCTCCTACAGTATTTGCTCAAGGCCATGTCGAACAATACCTTCTTTATGGGTACCAGCCACTTGCCACACTAGATTATAATTTTCCATTTACTTATCTCCATCCCTCATGCTCATATAAGATTCCTAAAGATAGGGACTATGCTCCATACATTTGTGAATACCTAGGGCCTTGCCCAAGGTTCATCTTAATAGCTGGTAAATGAGTATTGAATGTTGGTGGTGCCTTAGAGCCAAATATATTGTATAGCTGTCAATATGAGGAGGAAGCACTTATGTGTCATTTCTTTAGGATGAACTCAGGAAAGGACAAACGGGAAGAGGAAAGTGAGAAAAGGGTGAGGGAAGAGGAGACAAGAAAGGGCACACTGGGAAAGAAGACAAAGAGATGAGAGAGATCCAGGCTGTAATGTATTCTATTCTAACCGATTTTTAGATAACAATCAAGTTTGAGCAAACTGAAGTGTAATGGAGTGATGGAGGATTTCCCACAAAGGGGCAATAGCAAAGAAGAAAACCCGAAGGAAAAAAGCTGAATGGTCCATTTCTTCTTGAGCTTGCGTGAGAGCCCAGAGGGAGAGGGCAATTGCTTCTCACTCAAGGAGCTAAACACCAGGTCTCAGTTTACCAATTTCCACCACAGTCAAGGGCCGAATGCACTTTCAGAATTGTCACATTCATCTGTAAAAACAGCAAAATTTAAGTGAATTTTCTAACAGCAAAAGCTGAAGGAAGAAGAAACTGGAAACTGAAGGTTAAATACAGACGGAGGATAAAACCTTGAAATTGCTCCCCAAGCAGCAGCAGCTTGCAAGGAGCACAAGGGAAACAGGATAACTGAGAAATGGTAACCTTGGCAGGCAGGACGTTGAAGTGAAAAGTTGTCAAAGCAGAAGACCGACAATTAAATCTTCAGACTTTCTCCCAGTCTTCTCTTCTGTATTACAAGTTTCAGTTATATTCACTGAGACTTAGAGTTTGGGATGATTTTAAAACCTTTCGCCTCCCCACCAATGTTAAAAGTCCATTTCATTGTAACTAAGCAAGAATTGAAAACTATTATGCTACTAGAAAAATCATTTCCCCATAAAAACAGAAAGTAAGTTTAACTGGTCTAAAGAAGGGAAGACGGCAGAGGAAAAGGAGGGAGTCTTACATACAATGGAAATAAAAACTGGGGCCTAGAATCCAACCACCTGGCCTCCCCTGGAGCTTACGGCCCTTCTGCAGAAATGAAGGCTGTATAAGGCAATATACGTACAAGTGTTTTTAGGACATTTCTCTACATCGATCTAATATTCATACCAACCTGATGTTAATGAAGTACGGTGGTGTAGACGTGAATGACGGAATTTAGTGCAGGAATCTACCCTTGAGGTAGAACGCTCTAATTGGTAAGGCAAGTTCCTTGTCTCCTCAGAGGGACCAGAATGAACTTTATAAAATGTAAATCAGATCACATTACTCCACCCTACCCTTGCTTAACATCCCAGAATTTACCTACCCATTGAAATGAGAGTAAATCTCAATTTCTTACTGGAGAGGAGGCTCAACATTATTTCCCCCCTCGACCTCCCTGACCTCACTTCACAGTGTTTCCCTCCTTCCTTACACTTCAGCCACATTGGCCTTCCCTCTGTCACTTCTGCCAAGCTCATTCTAGACCTTACACCAAATGTTTGCTCTGCCATGAAGGCTCTCCCTCCTGTCTTTGCGTGGTGAGCTTCTGTTTACCATCACCTCCACAGAGTGCTCCTTGCCACCCTGCCCTCCAGAGTCCAGAGAAACCCAC